CCCCAAAACCCCAAAACCCCAAAACCCCAAAACCCCTATTCTTCACTAGAATATTGAAACTTGCAATAGGAAGATGACCTAGGGTTTATACTCTGGAGGTGTACGGTCCTGGTGGAGAGAAGTGATCCTTTGAAGCAGATCTGCTATATGGACAGAAATCAAGGGTGCATCGGTAGGCGCTTAGAGATGTTCCAGTCCCGCTGATAATTTTATACTCATGCTCATCAAAATCTTTCGGAAGAGAGAACTGTGAGCTAGACCTTTCCATAGAAGTTTCTAAATTTCAGAAAATTCATTTACTAGCATCTTGTTTCAGATCAGATTTAAGATTTCTCAATGATTTCTTCAAAGTGATCAAGCTGCCATTTAACTTCTTCAGTTTCTTTAGCGTGACCTTCTGCTTTGGGGCTATATATAATCCTCTGGTCTTACTAAAGCTGTTCCTATCATTTCGACTCTGGATCTTCCTTGATTTTGAGATTCTTCGCCTTGAAGTAGATTTTTTAAACTCCTACTTTATCATAGCTCCCTCCAATAGTGATCTCATTTCCATTCCTATGTGTAGAGACCCCTCTTGGCAACATCTTCTGTTGAAAAGTAGCAGGGATATTAAGACTAACAAGCTGGGGCACTCTCTTCGCTCCTAATTTGTTCCTTTCCTTACAGAATTTATTCTTAGCCCTGTTGAGTATCAACTTTCTGACTTTACCTACGAACGTTTTTACATCTCAAAACACATAGAAATAGTCAAAGAGGTTTAGAATACATACTTTTAGTGTGTAAGGGTTTGTAGGCTTCGCCTTGGAGGTAGGAATACCTGGTACTCTCCTTCTTGGTTGAACCCACCTGCTTCTTTACATCCTCCTTTTCGTCAATCTTGTCTTGACTTTTAGTCAATAATTTCCTTTGCATAAATTTGTAGCTAATTTGGTAAGCCAAGCTGGACGGATCCAGATTTTTGGAAGTATGTTGGTTAGGCTTATATAAAGATGTCTTCTTCACGAACAACTTTTTATTAAATTCATCTGGCTTTGCTATATCGTTTAGAATATTTGGGTGTTACATTTCAGCAAGTTGATCCTCTTCTGTTGTTCTAGAGCTGTTTCCTTATTTTATCACTTCTCTGCTCAGCCTATAGTAATTTGGTTTAGAAGCAACGAATTTCTCAGAATGAGCGAGATTCTGAAACTTACTGTATTAAGGATGAAATTCTATCACTAGAGTTTTGATACATCGACTGGGATGCTGAAGTCTTCATGATGTCACAATAATTCTTTAATTAATTTTATTTTAAACCAGTTGAAATATATGACGTGGGGTTTTGGGGTTTTGGGGTTTTGGGG